CACCTGGTCCAGCAAATGGCTTCTCGAATTTAATCCTGCCAAATGCAAAGTCATGAAGATAGGGGAAGGGCACAGAAGACCACAGACAGAGTATAGGCTAGGTGGCCAAAGACTGCAAACCTCACTCAAGGAGAAAGATCTTGGGGTGAGTATTAACACCGAGCATGTCTCCGGAAGCACACATCAATCAGATAACTGCTGCAGCATATGGCGCCTGGCAAACCTGAGAACAGCATTCCGACACCTTAGTAAGGAATCATTCAAGACACTGTACACCGTGTATGTCAGGCCCATACTGGAGTATGCAGCACCTGTTTGGAACCCGCACTTGATAAAGCACGTCAAGAAACTAGAGAAAGTACAAAGGTTTGCAACAAGGTTAGTTCCAGAGCTAAGGGGAATGTCCTATGAAGAAAGATTAAGGGAAATCGGCCTGACGACACTGGAGGACAGGAGGGTCAGGGGAGACATGATAACGACATATAAAATACTGCGTGGAATAGACAAGGTGGACAAGGACAGGATGTTCCAGGGAGGGGACACAGAAACAAGAGGCCACAATTGGAAGTTGAAGACACAAATGAGTCAGAGAGATAGTAGGAAGTATTTCTTCAGTCATAGAGTTGTAAGGCAGTGGAATAGCCTAGAAAATGACGTACTGGAGGCAGGAACCATACACAGTTTTAAGACGAGGTTTGATAAAGCTCATGGAGCGGGGAGAGAGAGGGTCTAGTAGCAACCGGTGAAGAGGCGGGGCCAGGAGCTAGGACTCGACCCCTGCAACCACAAATAGGTGAGTACAAATAGGTGAGTACACACACACAGCGCCACAACCACCAACACCCCGCACGATCTCTACCACCACCACTACCACCTCTTTGCCCCACCACAGTCACCACCATCACCACCCCTACTAACAATAGTATCCACTACCACCCCTTTATCACCACTATCACTACCACCACCATCTACCACCTACCACCCACTACAACCATCCCTCTACCCTTACTATCACCCATCACAACAACCACCACCCTACCACCACAAGAATCACCACTACCACCCACTACATCTCCCCACTACATCATCTACCCTTAAATCATGTCCCTACTACATCTACCCACTACATTATCTACCGCCTACATCATCTCCCCACTACTTCATCTACACCCTGCATCATCTACCCACTACATCTACCCACTACATCATCTACCCCTATATCATCTACCCACTACATCACCTACCCCTACATCATCTACCCACTACATCACCTACCCCTACATCATCTACCCGCTACATCATCTACCACTACATCATCTACCCACTACATCATCTACCCACTACATTATCTACCCACTACATCTACCCACTACATCATCTACCCACTACATCACCTACCCCCTACATCATCTACCACTACATCATCTACCCACTACATCATCTACCCACTACATCACCTACCCCCTACACATCATCTACCCACTACATTATCTACCCACTACATCATCTACCACACTACATCTACCCCTACATCATCTACCCACTACATCACCTACCCCCTACATCATCTACCCACTACATTATCTACCCACTACATCATCTACCACACTACATCTACCCCCTACATCATCTACCCACTACATCATCTACCCACTACATCATCTACCCACTACATCATCTACCCACTACATCATCTACCCACTACATCATCTACCCCCTACAGGCGTGCTAGTACACATGAAAGAAGTCAACAAGTGGCTGGTAGACTCACTCTGGTTCCAAGGATACAAGTGGGTCCTGGAAGTCTCGTTTAAACTCATACCAGCTATCATTCTCTTCTACCTAAACATCCGAATCATACGGACATACAAGGCTGTGTGCGAGAAGAGACGCAAGATGACCAGCAAGGTTTGTATATTTCTGTATTTTGCTTGATAATGGTTCCAGGAGGAATCGAAATGTGGTCTTTGAAGTGTGGGTTAGCTGTGGATTTTTCCAGCTGTGATTCTGTGGATTGTTCCAGCTATGATGCTGTGGATTGTTCCAGCTATGATGCTGTGGATTGCTTCATCCACGATGCTGTGGTGAAATCTGGATGGGACTGTAGTCAGGGGATAGGCTTCTATCCTCGGCCCATTATTTCATTCCCCTAGTGAACATTGATTCACCAATCTCTTACTCCCAGGATAAATGTTGATCCTAGCGGTACCCCTAAGGAGTTATACGTCCCATTTGGGTTTAGAGCCCCACAATTAACGCAGTAATAATAATTATAGTAACAACAAAAGTATTACTAATAACAATAATCATAATAATAATATTAGTGTTGTGTTACAGGTCAGTGGAGAACAGCGTCGTCAGTTCGCTGAAGAATCTCGTCTGATGTTCTTGTTGGGTGGAACTTCGACTTTGTTCTTCGTGTGCATGACTCCCATGATAGTTCTCTCAGTCACTATCCACCATGCATGGCGCAATTCACTCGCCTTTGAGGTCAGTCGCATTAACCACATAATGTGTCGCGTTTCCATGCAGCGTGTTAGGAACATTCAACATGGTGTATAGTGCTGGTAGTTAATGTGGTGTAGGAGAAGGCTAGATGGCGCTTGTGTGGCTAGATGGCACTTCCGTACGGGAGGTAGTATCTCTGTAGTGGAGACTGTACCATCTGTAGGTGAGATGGTACCGTCTGTAGGTGAGATGGTACCGTCTGTAGGTGAGATCATACCGTCTTTAGTGGAGATTGTACCGTCTGTAGGGTAGATGGTACAGTCTGTAGGGTAGACGGTACACTCTGTTGGGAAGGAGGTATTTACCTAGATATTAAATAAAGGAGCATCAATAATGAGAGACAATGTTCTCACACGTGCCATTATTACAGGTGTTCCGGGCAGTGGCCAACGTCCTGGAAGTGACCAACTTCGCTGTTACCTTCTACATCTACTGCCTTTTCTCCAAGGACTTCCGGGAGACCTTCCTGCGGACGCTGCGCTCGGCCAAGGAGAACTCCATGGGTGCGTCCTTCCTGGGGTCTGTGTCCGGTCTGAAGGAGGCCATTAGACCCCCATAGGGACGCGCCCGATCCAGGACCACGCCCACGCCCGTGCCTGTATGACACGAGGGTCACTGGAAAAGGGCGGCACTCGGTCAGTGTGGGCAGGACTTCGGCTTTCCTGACGGGAGACGACCCACACTCGATGCGCTGCCGGTGACGCAAACAGTGTCGACGGCCCTCTGAGGGAGGGTAAACGCGGGTCATTGATGTTTGACGACATTATATGAGACACAACGTTCAGTTCAGCCGTCTAACGTGGCGGTGAGCGAAACTCTGGTGTAATAAAGATGTTTCCCTCCCGAGGTCATCGCGTGTTGTGTTACGTAAGAGCAACGTTTTGCTTCAACGGAGTGTTGTGCGGTACATGCTTTTGTGCTGGGGGGAGAGCGTTTAGCTCTTCTGGAATTTGATGAAGCTCCAACAGGGAGAAACATCGTCCCAAATCAAAGCGTGTTTCGCCTCGTGTATATTATTTGTTTCTTCAACGTGTTAATTGCCCTTACTCTGTGTCCACTGCTACAAGATGGTACAGTAGCAGCCACAAGCCTCGTCCAGGGAGACTTACTGCCCAGTCAACTCCAGGAAAATAGCTGGGAATCTATCCATCAACTACAACCTTGAGAGGTTGTCTTGTCAAGGAAAAAACAGTGTGAGATCAGGTACTGCATGGCTCCTGTGGTCCACAGTATAAGGCCACTGCATGACTCCTGTGGTCCACAGTATAAGGCCACTGCATGACTCCTGTGGTCCACAGTATAAGGCCACTGTATGACTTCTGTGGTCCACAGTATAAGGCCACTGCATGACTCCTGTGGTCCACAGTATAAGGCCACTGTATGACTCCTGTGGTCCACAGTATAAGGCCACTGCATGACTCCTGTGGTCCACAGTTTGAGGCCACTACATGACTCCTGACCTCCTCAAAACCGTCGAGAAACAATACAGATTGGAAGACTGGAACCGTGCAAGACAGCAGACAAGAGATTCCGACAGGTACAGCGACTTACAGACAGCACTGACTGTGCTGTAATTATACTCGGTTTACGTGCGACCAACAGTAACGACCTGATTGATCAGACCCTGATCCACCACGAGAGCTGGTCTCAGACCGGGCCACGGGAGCGTTGACCCCCGAAACCGTCTCCTGGTAAACTCCAGACACCATAGATAGGTACTTCTTCATGATCACCTCTGAGTGCTACGACAGCGCCTTCTACAGTGTGTGCCAGTGACTCCTGTGAGGTCCTAGAATGATTGAAATTAGGTTAGATTAGCTAGGGAACAGAACAAATGCTTCCTGTCGAGGCTGTAGACATTTTTATTCAAAAACTTAAACTTTCAGAACTGTATAAATTCCTGAAGAAGCAATTGACATATTTTATTCCATTTCCGCATCGCCTGTCTCTCAAATTTCGTGCGCCATGAAGGTTAAAACTATGTACCCAGACACCGGTGAAAAATGGCAGCATCCAGTGTTGTGATCACACGAGGGTAGGTCAGGCTAGGTAAGGTTCGTCAGGAAACAGGACAAGTGTTTCCTGACGCTGGTCTTAGTCATATGATGACCCGCAGCTGGAGCTTTTGGTCATCTGACCGAGGCCTTCCACTGGCTTACCCCTCCCCCCCCTTTAAAAAATTATGGTTATAATTAGCTACCCAGGGAACCCACACACACACACGGGAAAATACACACAGACGAGGTGTGTTCCTCTCCAAAACACACCCAAAATACTGCGTTGCGTGTGTCTACACACCCAGATGGCGTCAGTGTTTGTGTACACGTGCACCAAGCAAGTGTGAGTGTCATGTGTAAGGTATAACAGCACCAGCTGTAGTGATTATGGTGACTCACTAACCTGGAACATTTGCGGCTTACTAAAATGATGCAGATAAGCTCAAGGAAGTTTAATAAAGTATGGGAATTGTAACCAAGCTTTAACGACCGTACTCTGGGGGTCTCCAAGGACAAAAATAGAAGTCACATTCCTATATATATATATATATATATATATATATATATATATATAAATATATATATATATATATATATATATATATATATATATATTAACATTATATTAATATGCTATTACTATTACTATTACTATTACAACTACTAGCTGCTGCTGCTGCTGCTGCTGCTGCTGCTGCTGCTGCTGCTGCTGCTGCTGCTGCTGCTGCTGCTGCTAGCTAGCTAGCTATACTTCTCTGATTCAAATATTTCAGCTACCTTTCTCAAGTCTCTGTATTGGATAAACAGACAATCTTTCCGTGGTGGGCGAAACGTCTCTCTCCAGTATAGATACTGAGACGTTGATGACAGATGATCGAGCCTGTCCTGGCCTGTGGGCCAGTTGTTGGAATGAATATTGTACATAATTCAAGCAGATATTCTGAATACGCACGATATACTCCTTCTGTACGTGTACTGTACGTGTATTGTACGTGCACTGTAAGTGTACTCTACGTGCACTATACGTGCACTGAACACAAATCTTTTCTCTCGTTGTATTACTGTTGACCATGTAAATTATTTACACAGGAATTTCCACCTATATATATATATATATATATATATATATATATATATATATATATATATATATATATATATTATATATATATATATATATATATATATATATATATATATATATATATATATATATATATATATATATATATACTGTGTTTTTTATGTGTTTTTAACATTGAGTCTGCACGCCGATGTGTTGCCCTCGTATAAACACTGGGAATGTTTACCGGAATGTTCTCTGAAGGCTTCCACATTCTGAAAAAAAAGTGTAATTATTATAGACGTATATTATTGATGTGTATACTAGAGATATAATGTTGATGTGTATGGATTATGGAGGGTTTTATAACTTTTCTAAGAATTGTTAACCTTTACGACAGTTATATATATATATATATATATATATATATATATATATATATATATATATATATATAATATATATATATATATATATATATATATATATATATGCAAAACAACCACTCTGAAAGAATAGAGAAATTCCAAGCGCTTTCGTGACTACTCACATTATCAAGGAACTATGAAAGTAAAGCATCCAAGGAAGCTATATAAGGGGTCTGGCCAACACCTCACTATCAGATCCCACAACGGTTAAACACCTGACGCGCGCCGACCCAACTTGGATAGGTCCTTTGCACAACTCACCCCACAAACTATTCTACCCAAGAAAATTTAAAAATTATTTGTCCAGTGTATTATTAAATTCTTCCCAAATTCTATTAATTATAAATGAATCTAATTTATATAAACCAAAGGAAATATTCATATTATTGTCAAAACTGCTTTTTATGAAACAAGATTCAATTATATTCCTATCGACCATGGACTTGCTTGATACTACTTTCTCAACTTTTTGAAAATCAATAGGATGGTTAAAATCTCTTACATGAATAAATAGAGCATTGGAATCTTGTCCAGTTCTAATGCTATATTTATGTTGTTTTAATCTTAGTTCGAGATTTTTACCAGTTTGACCGTAATAAACTTTATCGCAAATTTTACAAGGAATCTTATGTAAAGTAAAAGGACACAAGTGCAACTAATGTGACATTTTATTGTGGCAACGTTTCGCTCTCCAGGAGCTTTATCAAGCCATTACAAACAATACATGGACACAGAGGGTATATAAAGGCTCAGAGTGAGGTGCAATACTAGTGAGGTAACATTTCGATGTTCACTAGTGGTAGTAGTAGTAGTAGTAGTAGTAGTAGTAGTAGTAGTAGTAGTAGTAGTAGTAGTAGTAGTAGTAGTAGTGGTAGTGACAAAAGTAATACAATATGGTAGAGCAATTAATTCGTACATGAGTAAAAGGATATAAAAGCTATTACTTGGGTAACATAAAAATAGGTTGGACAAATATAGACTGGAAAGAGGCAGGTTGTTTCAGTGTTCACTCTCTGTGCTTTGTGTAGTATAACAGGAGAGACTATGTTATGGCAGGGTTTACTGTTTTCAGGAGGATTCTTGCTAAGACTTCGGAGATGGTGAAGCTGCCGTTGTTTAATCAGCACTGATCGCTGTTTCGAATACAATTAAACAAAACAACGGCAGCTTCACCATCTCCGAAGTCTTAGCAAGAATCCTCCTGAAAACAGTAAACCCTGCCATCACATAGTCTCTCCTGTTATACTACACAAAGCACAGAGAGTGAACACTGAAACAAGCTGCCTCTTTCCAGTCTATATTTGTCCAACCTATTTTTATGTTACCCAAGTAATAGCTTTTATATCCTTTTACTCATGTACGAATTAATTGCTCTACCATATTGTATTACTACTACTACTTTTGTCAGTAAAGTTTATAGAATGGGCTAAGCTATTTAATTTTCCAAGGAAATGGTGTATATCTACATTTTTGGGCATAAGACACAAAATATCATCAACATATCTGAACCATTTAGCTCTATTAGGGAGGATTGTGTTAAGCAACCTTGTTTCAAAAAATTCCATGTATAGGTTACTAAGAACAGGTGAAAGAGGATTTCCCATTGCCATACCAAACTTCTGAGTGTAAAACTTATCATTAAATACAAATTTTGCATCAACAATGCAAAGTTTAATAAGTTTAATGATAGTAGGAACTTATGCCCAAAAATGTAGATATACACCATTTCCTTGGAAAATTAAATAGCTTAGCCCATTCTATAAACTTTACTGTTGAGTTTGAAGAAAATAACTCATTGCCTTTTCTAGATGTTTTAATTATTAAGGGTAATAATGAATTCAAATTTAAAATTTACAGAAAACCTACAAATAACTGTTCCTATGTCCACTATTATTCCTCGCATCAAGATAGAGTCAAACTGTCTGTTTTCTCATCAATATTTCTGAGAGCTTTACGAATTTGTAGTCCTAGTTCTGATGGGGAAAAAATTCCAAAATTTTTATGAAATAGGTAATGTTTAAAATACCCAAGAAATGTAATTGAAAATCTTTAAAGTTTGCTAGAAATACTTTTACAACCCAAAAAGGGGGTAAACCCACCCTTATTCAACTAAAAATATGTTGGTTTCCTTACCATAAAAAACTTGCTTGATATCCTTTCTTCTTAAGATTTTTAAATATTAAAGTTGTATTCTTTATACAGTAAAAAAAAACTTTTGATAAAGAATTTTCCCCAAAATAGTTTTATATCCTTTTACCATGTACGAATTAATTGCTCTACCATATTGTATTACTACTACTACTTTTGTCAGTAAAGTTTATAAAATGGGCTAAGCTTTTTAAATTTTTCCCAAAGGGAAAATGGTGTATATCTACTTTTTGGGCATAAGACACAAAAATTCATCAACATATCTAAAACCTTTTTAGCTCTATTAGGGAGGATTGGTTAAGCAACCTTGTTTCAAAAAATTCCCATGTATGGGTTACTAAGAACAGGTGAAAGAGGATTTCCCATTGCCAAATACCAAACTTCTGAGTGTAAAACTTATCATTAAATACAAATTTTGCATCAACAATGCAAAGTTTAATAAGTTTAATGATATTTAGGAACTTATGCCCAAAATGTAGATATACACCATTTCCTTGGAAAATTAAATAGCTTAGCCCATTCTATAAACTTTACTGTTGAGTTTGAAGAAAATAACTCATTGCCTTTTCTAGATGTTTTAATTATTAAGGGTAAAAATGAATTCAAATTTAAAATTTACAGAAAACCTACAAATAACTGTTCCTATGTCCACTATTATTCCTCGCATCAAGATAGAGTCAACTGTCTGTTTCTCATCAATGTTTTTGAGAGCTTTACGAATTTTTTAGTCCTGAGTTCATAGATGAGGAAATATCCAAAATTTATGAAATAGGTAATGTTTTAAAATACCCAAGAAATGAATTGATAAATCTTTTAAAGTTGCTAGAAAATTTTTACAATCCAAAAAGGGTCAACCAGCCTTATTCAACTAAAAATATGTTGGTTCTCCCTTACCATGAAAACTTGCTTGATATGCCTTCTCTTCTTAAGACTTTTAATATTAAAGTTGTATTCAAAAATCTTTGATACAGTAAAAAAAACTTTTGATAAAGGAATTCCCCCCAAAATGCTGATGGATGTGTCTATAAGATTCCTTGTAAAATTTGCGATAAAGTTTATTACGGTCAAACTGGTAAAAATCTCGAACTAAGATTAAAACAACATAAATATAGCATTAGAACTGGACAAGATTCCAATGCTCTATTTATTCATGTAAGAGATTTTAACCATCCAATTGATTTTCAAAAAGTTGAGAAAGAAGTAGTATCAAGCAAAGTCCATGGTTCGACAGGAATATAATGAATCTTGTTTCATAAAAAGCAGTTTTGACAATAATATGAATTTTTCCTTTGGTTTATATAAATTAGATCCATTTATAATTAATAGAATTTGGGAAGAATTTAATAATACACTGGACAAATAATAATTTTAAATTTTTTCTTGGGTAGAATAGTTTGTTGGTGAGTTGTGCAAAGGACCTATCCAAGTTGGGTCGGCGCGCGTCAGGTGTTTAACCGTTGTGGGATCTGATAGTGAGGTGTTGGCCGGGCCCCCTTATATAGCTTCCTTGGATGCTTTACTTTCATAGTTCCTTGATAATGTGAGTAGTCACGAAAGCGCTTGGAATTTCTCTATTTTTTCCCAGAGTGGTTGTTTGCATATTCTGAAATCACCTGTTTACTGTGATCTTATTGCATATATATATATATATATATATATATAATATATATATATATATATATATATATATTTATATATATATAATATATATTATATATATATATATATATATATATATATATATATATATATATATATATATATATATATGTATATATATATATATGTGTGTGTGTGTGTGTGTGTGTGTGTGTGTGTGTGTGTGTGTGTGTGTGGTGTGTTTTGTGAGTGTGTAT